TCGACCCCATGCACGAGTGGGATACGATACAAAAGTATCACACGGTCTTCGATCTACACATGCATACAAAATTTTTCTTCGATGGATTGTTATTGCTTGATACAACAGTCGATGACAAAATAGGGGAGTGATTCCAAGAAGTATCTCAAAATCATCGAAAAGATCCATTGTTTTTTCCACAATACTTGTTGATGAATTTAAGGGAAAATCATGGGTTTTTTAAATTTGAGGTTCTGATGGGTTTTTTAAATTTGAGGATCTCATGGGTTTTTATAGGCTGGACAATCACAAATTCTAAGGGTCATAGTAATTTAAAAATTTAGTACCCCTAAAAAATCCTAATAGGAAACCTACTTTATCAAAAGTTGTACCACTGAATTGTTTTTGCTAGTATAAGATTCCAAATTGTTCTAACTTATACGGTTATTTATAGCCCCAGAACCAGATGACAACTTTGCCATTTCCCTAACAAGTATCCAATAGGGACATTGTGTTTCTCACTCTACTTATTCCAATCGTTCATCATCATCTTCAAAAGATATTCAAAATGGTACGCATTATTCTATATATATTTCTTTTAATTACATTACTACTCCGTTTTTAACAGGATGTTTAATACTAGGGTAAGACATATGTTGTGTTTGTTGGTCGACAACCGGGAATATATGACAATTGGGAAGATGCAAAAGCTCAAGTACATCGCTATAGCGACAATTTGTATAAATCATTTCACTCCAAAGATGAAGCCTTTGAAGCTTTCAACAAATTCAAAAACAATCAGCAACATCATTTCGGAGCATGTAGTTCAACTTCCGCTTCCACTTCTACCTCCACCCCACCCAATACAAACACACTTTCGAATGATGAAATCTTAGCGCGTATGCAAGATGAACTCGCACGTGAGACTCATGAGCATGTCATGAAAGTCGATGCAATTGTTGAAGAATTTAAAAATCTACTTTCAAAATAAGTTCACGTGTATGGATGTAGCTTTTATATACATAAGAATATGTGTTTTCGATTGACACCATGCGTGAAATTTACGTATCAAATATTACCATGCGCAATATGATTGTATAATTTATCAATACTCAGTCCCAACTCGTAAATTGGCATACTATCATACTATGCTATTCCGGGGCTTGGCCCTTCCTCTGTACTCAAAAAATCATACTTCGTATTTGACAGCCTGTACCAAAGCTGTGGCCACTATGCTATTCGTCAGCCGAAATGCATCACATGTCGGCTGACAAAAAGCAAGATTGCAAGTGGAAATTGCGGTTCGCCGTAAACCGCAAGTCCCACTCGCGTTTTGACCAGCTTTTATTGCTTTGGTCAGTCGAGACATCACATCTACGCTTTTTATGGTAACTTGTGCCAACCACCCTGTTAGTCACCCAGCCGATACATCACATCCCCTGACAAAAAATAAAATCGCAAATACCACTTGCGGTTTAAGCGTGAGTTACTTTAGAAAAAATACAACGCAATACAACACAACAAGGACTTGCTTAGCATTCTACCTCGCATATAAATAGCCCACAGGTGCGATTTTACATTCAAACATTACATTTTTTTCTAAACCAATTTAGCTTATTTATGTATTCTCTATGGGAAGTTTGTTTTCTTTTTTACAACTTTCTCATGCTCAGTATTTCAAGCCCCATATTTTTTCTCTGCTTCCGAAATTCAATGAATTTCAACTAAATTTCGCGACTACTATTTCTATTAAGAGGTTCGTTCAATTTAGCTTACAGACTTCGTATTGGTTAGCTCGTACAACGTTTCTTTTAATTTTGTTTATATATATGATGTATATCCAAGTTCTGTAATTTGTTATTTTTTATATTTTCCTTATTTACAAATTTCAGGTTATAGGCTGCGCCTTATTACATGACTTCTGCAAGGAGTCAACGACAAAAATAAGGTTACTAAACGACCAAAGGTCCAAAAGGCCTATGATTTGGAAGATGACATTGATGCAAGAGAAGCCACATTTCTCAACTGTGTCAATGACTTCCAGCAGCCGCAAATTTAATTCAATTCCTCGAAACATTGGCTTTAACGCAATTTCATTTGTAATTTATGTAGTTTATGATGTATATCCAAGTTGGTCAATGTTGGAACCAGCCTCGCAAAATTCGGAGACCTGTGGTTTGTACTTTATGTTGGTCGATGTTGGAACCAGCTTCGCAAGATCCCAGTGATGCACCAACTGGTTATGTAGTTTATGATGTATATCCAAGTTGTGTACTTTGTGATTTATATAATTGTAATTGTATACATTTATATCACAATTTCAGTTTTACTACTTTATTACTAAATATCTTATTAAACGAAAATTCACTAATTTTTTCAAGTGGTTAACACAAGTATTCATTTCACTCCTTTATAGTGCTTCAAACATACATAAAAACTAATAAGCAGTAATTTCACTCCACCGATTGAGACATTTCGGTGTATAGTTATATGTGCATTATTTTAAAAACTAAACCCCAACTAATTTTTTGCGGCCTCAATTGCTTCTGCTAGTTCATCAACGAGAAGTGCTGAAAACAAATCATAAATAGAAAAAAATAAAAACTCAAAACGCCCAATTGTCTTGAAAATAAAGTAAGAACGCAACTAGGAGTTGCGTTTTCCTGTGGACCGCATTTCCCTATTGCATTTTGACGACCTTACCAATGCATCACATCTCGGCTGACAAAAAGCAAGATCGCAAGTGGGAATTGCGGTCTGCAATCGACCGCAACTCCCAATCGCGTTTTGACCACCTTTTTTGACTTGGTCAACCGAGACATCAGATCGCCGTGACAAAAAGCAAAATCGCAAATCGCACTTAATTCAGACTAATTGACAAAATTTGTACCTGCAAAAATATAAACAATACAACATTAAAATGACATGCTATACATGGGTGCTCTTTGATGAAAATTTCGGATGTTAGCCAACTCAAATGGCATGCTATACATTCAAACTTTGCCAAATCATGTAGCCTTTATTCAGTGAAATGGTCACCGCTATGTAAAATGCATGTTGGACATGCGTTTTTACATAAAACGCAATTTCGACGTGCGTTTTAATGAAACGCACCAAACTTGGCCTATATATATTCCCGAATTATTTTTACAACCTCATACGACTCTGAACATTTTTTTTATCTCATTCTCTTCTCTACTCTCTATCAAATTCCATACTTTTCTATAAGCCCTCTATACTATCATCTGCATACTATCATATGAATACTATGTTCTCATATGCCAAAAATTCTTTGGAGAATTTTTTCTCCCGTTAACTACACGTATGGTCTGTACTTAATTCTCACGAAATTACATGGCGGCTTAGTTGAAGAATATGGTCCAAATTGTGTGGAGAAAGGCCGGGTTCTATGATTGCCTTCTCATCCATACACAGTTCAGGATCACATTCCAACTTCCTTTGGAGTGGCTGCCCACTTATAGTCCGTGTGGCTCACAAATACTGGGCATCAATGTTTATGTCCATGTTATTTGATTGCCACGCGGGTTATCTAAAATTACGTCTCTGGGTCACAATATGATGGCATCAATATATGTTCATGTATTTCAATGCCTACAAATTAATGACCCAGCCACTACTACACAGCAGGCTTTTAACGTCGGCTAAATAGAGCTTTTAACGTCGGCTAGGTTCCGTAGTTGTTACGGCCGACGTTGTAAATATTATCTATAACGACGGCTATTTATATAACCGACGTTATATATTAATTAAAAAATAAATAAATAAATAAAGTTTACAACGTCGGCTAATAGCTATTAGCCGACGTTGTAGGTATTTTAAAAAATAATTAAAATACTTACAACGTCGGCTAATAGCTATTAGCCGACGTTGTAGGTACTTTAATTATTTTTTAAAATACTTACAACGTCGGCTAATTGCTATTAGCCGATGTTGTATGTATTTTAAAAAATAATTAAAATACTTACAACGTCGGCTAATAGCTATTAGCCGACGTTGTAAGTATTTTAATTATTTTTTAAAATACATACAACATCGGCTAATAGCAATTAGCCGACGTTGTAAGTATTTTAAAAAATAATTAAAGTACCTACAACGTCGGCTAATAGCTATTAGCCGACGTTGTAAACTTTATTTATTTTTTTTAAACATATTCGACGTCGGCTATTACTTTTAGCCGACGTCGTATGTTTTTTTTTTAATATACAATTTATTTGTCCATTTATATCCAAAAACCTGCTCAAATCTACTCACAACCACAACCACAACATAAACCTGGTCAATTTCTCACAACCACAACCTAAACCTTCTCAATTTCTCACAACCACAACCAAAACCTGCTCAATTATTGCACCACAACCGCAGCAAAATATGTAGAATCTAATATTTATAATGAAACAAGTAATAAAAGTAATAAATCTCACAATTTGATACTAATTAATAATACAAGTTAACATTCAAAAGCTAATATCAATTTGTTTAATTTACATACTTAACCATACATCAAAAAAGAAGTCGGCCCATACATCTCTTACTTGATCAATTTCTTGTTGAGTGTAGCTCGATCTACCAACTCTCTCAACAATCTACAAAGTTGATAATTATTAAATAATTAGTAAGCTAGCATTTTTTAAAATTAGAAAAAGAAAGGTATTATATTAAATTACATGCCTTATCCATTCCCGCACATGCTTCTTTGGAAAGAATTTCAAGCATGTATTTCATCACATAATATCCACATGCCGTACTTCCAACTTGTTGAGCACACTACATTTGAATTAAATTACATTTAAAATTTTATTTAATAAAAAACAATAAAATATATGTAGTTTTACAAATGTATAAAATACTTACCAAAACCTTAGTCCATTTTGGTGAACGAGTTGATCCATTGCTTCTCAACAACCTTACTGAATTGACACACCTAAAATTATAAGAGATTAGTTTACATAAATACTTTATACTTTATTAATTATACATATTAATACTTATAAGTTCACATACTTTTCAACAATATCTTTGATGTCATCACGTGGCGGGCCTCCAATTGAATCAAACCAATAGATTTCATTAAGTTGAGGACAAATTGCCATCAACATCCAATGATCACTACAAATCAATAATGTATTAGTTGTAAGTAAATATAATATATAATAAAAGTGTATTATATATAAGTTATTTTATTTTAAACAATTAAAACTTACTTTAAAATATATGGCGCTAGATAGCATTGTTTTTGGCCATATTGCATGGTGACGTTGATATACCCTGTCCGTTCATCTATAGTATTTGAAACTGTTGAATGAAATGCGGATCTAAGAAGCCATATGTGGTCTTTGATGCCAATTCAAATTTGTCATAAAGACCCCTATTCAAAAATACAATCAATCATATATATCAGTAATATAATAAATGAATGAAAAATATTATATAAACAAATATAAGTAAAGAACATAATTATTACCTTATAAAGAACTGCAATATGGAAACATCTAACGTCTCCATCCTTAAGAAACGCATAATCTCCAACGGGTCAAGTTGTAAGGGATAGTCAACATCGCCCACAATACCACGCTCCATCTTTATCACAACATTTTTATCAAGTTTGGGAATAATTTTATATACCTTTAGACATCGAGGACTCAAAGAAGTCGGATCAGCTATATTCAGATCAGCAAAAGGTCGTTGCACACCGGAATCATAAGTCATTTGTACATGTTCAATATAACTAACAATTACTATTTTTAAAAAGTAAATTAAACACTATTTTAAAATCCAAAATTTTTTAAAATACATACCTCATCACCTTCGGTATACAACTCAACCAACTTCTTTGGCCAAATAATAAAGTTGTGCAATGCATCCCTTAACAGTTGAACCTCATCGGTAGGGAAGGGTACCATTGCACTTGACACGAGAATTTCAGTCACGGTGACCTTCACTTGATCCGCATGTATTTGTATCCCGTGAACCCTTTCGGCCTTGTAAACTATCCCACGTGCAACTTTACGTCTAATGGGATCTTCTAAAAACAATTCACATCCGGCTCCTAACTGCATGAATTCATATTAAGAAATAGGTAAAATGTTTTTAATAAATAATAAGATTAGTTATAAATGATTACTTACGGCCGGTAAATCAGTAAAAGGGTCTGGAGAGCTTGCTTTTTCACTTTGACCATGAGGTTGGACAGCTACACGCATGTCTTCCTCCTGCCTTGATGGTACAAGTTGAGCCGCTGGAGTCCTCATACTACTAATTTCATCCCTCATCTCTCGAATGGCTGCTTGCAAGGATGTTTTATATTCCTCTCGGGCAACCGCTAACGCCTCAGCAACTGCTGTCTGAATCATATCTTTCACTTGTGGTGTAGACTGGCTTTGACGACGTTTTGCATGACCAAAGTAGCTTTTTAAGCCATGTGCTCTACCCATGGCTCTAACACGTCCGCAATGCTCATCTGTACCTATGGCAGTAGACAATATATCTTGTGTACCGGACTCAACAAACTCTCCTTGAGAAGCTTGCAATGATAGCAAATCCTAACATATAAAAACAATATTTAATAATGATTACTAGCTATCTTAATAATGTAGAAAATTTTAACATTTTACTTACAATCTTTTCCACGATCATTCTAGTCGCTTCGTTGTTAATATTTCCTAATTTGTCCATTCTGGCCCTCTTCCACTTTTCATGTTTAGCTGGCGGAGATGGAGGAACAACACTTGACGATGGATCTGATCTTGCAGCTTCTTCTTGTTCTTTCATATTCTCATCCATCATAATCTTCTCCAATCTCTTATAGCCTCCTCGGGCTAAATGATGTGGATGAATATTCTTACTCCGTATTTCTTGATGTTTCTTTCTTGATTCCTACACAAAAAGAAAACATTAAGTAAAAATACATATCTTTAATATATTTGAGTTAATAAATAATTGATAGAAAAATTACAATATATACCTCAAACTCTACAGTTTTACGCCGCTCCACGTACGTTTTCCATGTATTTGGATCAATAAATGTGTATTTTTGACATGGAGTATTATTTATTGGGTCTTCATTATGGAATATGTAGTCTCTGTTCAATCTAGCTTTAAAATCTCTCCACCGTTCACTCGCATATGACATCAAAGAACCCTTCAGATCCACATCATCAGTGGGAATATCATAAACGCTCTGCAAGACAATATTACTTATTAGAAACAAATTAAATACAATTAATTCAATAGTTTTATAAATAAGTTGCATACCGTGATATCATCCCACACCAACGCTTTACTCTCTTCTGGGACCTCTTTCCAATCTTTATATGTGATTGGAACTTTGCTCCGTGCAATCAACGCAAAGTAACTTTTGAATTGGGTGCTCCCTGGCCCAACAGCTTCGTGTTTTCTATTAAATTGAACCACCAATTTTGTGTCACCACGCCCAGAAATTAATTTTGTCATAACGGTGGCACCCCGCCTCTTCTTAGCTTTGGTATTAGTACCTTTAGCTTGGATGGTACTATCAACGGGGGGGGGGGGGGGGGGGGGGGGGGGGTCATTTGATGAATCCATATGCCTGTTTAGCAAAGAAATTATTAGTGAATTGACAAAAGAATAATATACATAAATATAACTGTAAATATTTAGATATAGTAAACACAAGAATAAGTTAAAGCATTACAAATAATAATCAATTCTCCCATAGCCCTTCATGATGATCATCACGTGATGCATGCACTTCATCTATCTCATTGTCTATGATAACTGGTAATAAACTTGAAGAAAAGGGTGGTATTTCCTCAATCTCATAACTAACATCTTCATTCCCTTCACCAGTAATTTGTCTCTTTCCATGAAGAACAACAGACCATTTTTTATCACTAGGATCAGTAACAAAAAATACTTGTTTTGCTTGAGATGCCATTATGAATTGCTCATTTTTGTGACCTTCCCTGTTCAAATCAACAAGTGTAAACCCTAACTCATCAGCTTTAACACCGTGTTTACTATCTACCCATTTACATCGGAACATCGGCACTTTGAACTGAACATAATCAACCTCCCATATTTCTTCAATCACACCATAATATGACAACTCTGCAATGACCGGATTTTTATCTTTCGAACTACTGAAGTGCACTGAATTTGCAACCAAAGAAACTCCACTGTTTTGCATAATGCTCTTTTCATCTTGTTTTTTTGTATAAAAAGAAAATCCATTTATATCATATCCAGTATAACATATGACTTGCATACAAGGACCATGAGCTAACCATCGTACTGTTTCAGAATAGTTAGTAGCACTCAGAACTTTATTCTTGAACCAACTAATAAAAGTACGATTATGTTCGCTCACAATCCACATGTCTGTCTTTCTTGGATTTTGCTCTTTAATCAGTGCCTTGTGCTCATCTAAATATGGCTCGACTTCACTTGTATTATGCAAGATGTACAAATGTGCTTCATCAATATCTTCACGAGGCATACCAGCTACTTTGCGTCCTCGAGTACCTTTCCCAGCACTTCTTCCTTCATGTCGATACTTAGAAAGACCAATAGCTTCTACCCCCGCCAAATATTCAGTACAAAATTCAGTTACCTCCTCAGCAATATAGCTTTCAACAATAGATGCTTCTGGTCGGTATCGGTTCCTCACATAACCTTTTAAGACTTTCATGTACCGTTCAAATGGGTACATCCACCTCAAATAAGCAGGACCGCACTGTTTGATCTCTCGCACCAGATGTACAACCAAATGAACCATGACATCAAAAAATGACGGTGGAAAATACATCTCCAACTGACACAATGTAACAATAATGCCATTTTGCAATTCATCTAGTTTGTCTGGATCAATCACTTTCCACAGATAGCATTGAAAAAGAAATAAAACCTTATAATAGTATATCTCAACTTTTTGGGCAATATACCTCTAACAGCCACTGGCAATAGTTGCTGCATTAAAGCATGGCAATCATGAGATTTCAATCCCACCAATTTTAGATCTTGCATATTCACAAGTGTTCTAATATTTGATGAGTACCATTGTGGTACCTTGACTCCACGTAAACACTCACAAAAACTTATTTTCTCCTTTCTTGATAAAGTATGAGCAGCTGGAGGCAAATATGTCTTCTTTTCCCCTTGGCGTGGAGCTAATGTTGCTCTTATGTTCATTTCAATCAAGTCTAATCTAGCATTGAGTCCATCTTTAGTCTTACCTTTTATATCTAAAAGAGTTCCAACAAGACTATCACACACATTTTTCTTCACATGCATCACATCAATACTATGTCTCACATCTAATGTCTTCCAATATGGAAGATCAAAAAATATGGATTTCTTTTTCCATGGACTCTTTTCATTTGGAGGTACCTCAACATTAGCTCTTGACCTCTTACCTCTTTGAGATTTAAGCTTTTGAGTTTTACCAAAAGTAACATTTATACCTTTCACACGTTCATAAACTTCAATCCCAGTCATTGGTTGTGGAGCATCTGTATAGTCTTGTTGCCCATTGAAAGCCTTTTTTAATCTCCTGTAAGGGTGAGCTCTATCAAGAAACCTCCGGTGACCCAAGTAGACTGTCTTTTTGCCATGGACAAGTTGTGTATAACATGTATTATCTTCACATATAGGGCATGCTTTATGTCCTTTGACACTATACCCAGCCAGGTTTCCATAAGCTGGAAAGTCATTGATTGTGCAAAAAAGCATAGCATGCAACTTAAAATTTTCTTTCCGGTAGGCATCAAACACTAACACACCTTCATCACACAATTTTTTCAAGTCATCAATCAAAGGTGCCAAAAAGACATCTATATCATTACCGGGTTGTTTTGGGCCAGAAATCATCAAGGACAGTAATATATATTTGCGTTTCATACACAACCAATGAGGTAGATTATAAATCACTAACATAACTGGCCACGAGCTATGCTTGCTACTTAGGTTCCCGTGAGGGTTTATACCATCTGTACAAAGGCCAAGTCTAAGATTTCTGGACTCATTGCCAAATTCAGGAAAAACATTATCAAAGGTTTTCCATTGAGTAGAATCAGCTGGGTGTCGAAGCTTGCCATCAGAAATTTTTTGATCTGCATGCCATGTTAAGTTTTTCGCGTCGCTTGGATTGGCAAACATACGCTTAAATCTTGGAAGAATTGGGAGATACCACATAACTTTAGCTGGTGGCCCTTTCGAACTTGCCTTACCAACAACATGCTCTCTTATTTTATACCGAGATGCCCCACAGATCGGACATGCATTCAATTCTTTGTAATCATTCCTAAACAATATGCAATCGTTAGGACAAGCATGTATCTTTTCATACTCCATACCCATGGGACACATAATCTTCTTTGCATCATATGTACTCTTCGGGAGTCCATTATCTTCTGGAAGCATATCGTTTATTAAATCAAGTAAAGCAGTAAAGCTCTTGTCGCTCCATCCATTCCCAGCTTTTAAGTTGAATAATTTCAAAACAGCAGATAAGCGAGTATATTTACTACTCCCGGGCCATAAAGGCTGTTTTGAATCATTTAATAATTCATCCAACTCATTTGATCGATTTGTGAACTCTTCTCCAACAT